TCACGGTTGACGCCGCGAGCTTAAACAAGATAGGGTCCTCATGATAGGAAACCCTAAACCCTAAACCCGAAACCCGGGAAACACGGCGACTAAGTCTCTCCTTGCAATTCCCGTAGGATCAAGGTAAATCGGCCCTTTGAGCACGTAGGTTTTTAGGAAGTTACAGAATAGAATCGGGTTTAGGGCTTATAACGCAATATAATGGAGCAGCATTTATTTCCGGTGCTTCCTGGATAAATCAAAACAGCGTAAACCGCTTACAAGTCTCACGCCTGTGGTCATTACCACAAAGCCAAAAAAAACGAGGCAAACCCCTGAACCCTAAACCCCGTATAGTCGACCTGAAGAACCCAACCCTAAACCGTAATGTAGGGGCCTTAATCATTAGAATAGGGTTTTGGGGGTTCCTGTATAATTTATCCCCAAACCCTGATTCAAAAATTCTTACGACCCTTTTTTCAAACCCTAGTATGATACATCCCCTTGCAAACCCTGTTCTAACTATTACAGCCCCTATATTTTACCCTAAAACCCCAGGTACCTACTATATAGGGTACTAGAGCCCCTAGGGCCCTATATAGTAGGTACCTGGAGGGTTAGGGTAAGCCCTAAACCCAGGATTCTAACTATTACGGTCCCTATATTGAACCCTAAAACCTAAACCCTTAACCCTGTATGTATATATATATATATACATATATATATATATATTTTTATTTATTTATTTATACTTATTTATTTATTCGTTTATTTATCTATCTATTTATCCATTTAAACCCTAAAACCCAGGTGCAGCATCTTCGCCCATGGCTCCGTCGGAACCTTCCGTGCCAGACACCTCTGGGCCTCCCTGAGCGGGCTGAAGGGCTGGAGAACGTGCCGGGACTCGCTGTCCTCTTCGAGCTTCGTAGGGTTTAGGGTTTAGGGTTTAGGGATTAGGTTTTAGGGTTTAGGGTTCAGGGTTTAGGGCCGCCAGGGCCTCGTGGGTTTAGGGTTGAGGGTTCCGATGCTGAGAGTTAGGGCCCAGGACCTTTGGGGTTTAAATTTCCAGGGTTTAGGGTTTTGTGGGGTTTATAGGGTTTAGGGTTGAGGGTTCCGATGTTGAGAGTTAGGGCCCAGGACCTTTGGGGTTTAGGGTTCCAGGGTTGAGGGTTTTGTGGGGTTTATAGGGTTTAGGGTTGAGGGTTCCGATGTTGAGAGTTAGGGCCCAGGACCTTTGGGGTTTAGGGTTCCAGGGTTTAGGGTTTTGTGGGGTTTCTAGGGTTTAGGGTTCCGATGTTGAGAGTTAGGGCCAAGGACCTATGGGGTTTAGGGTTCCAGGGTTTAGGGTTTTGTGGGGCTTATAGGGTTTAGGGTTCCGATGTTGAGAGTTAGGGCCAAGGACCTGTGGGGTTTAGGGTTCCAGGGTTTAGGGTATGGAGAGTTTAGGGTTAATAGGTTGAGAGTTTAGGGTTTAGGGCTGGTCCTTATTCGCTTGGAAGATCGTGGCCAGAGAGTTCAAGACAATGAAGAAGACCATGAAGCCCGCGAAGAAGAAGTCTCCGTGGCGAAGGAACGTGAGAATCTGGATGGCATCGTTCAAGATGTCCTGGGCAGGGAAACCCTAAACCCTAAACCCTAGGGTTTAGGGTTTAGGGCCTAAACCCTAAACCGCCGAATATCGAGACCTGCATAGTTTGACGGAGGAGGTTTTGGCGAGGCGTGTGCTGCATAAAGATATGGATAGTTGTCAAAATTATGGTCCCTTTTGGGGTACCCTAAATATTAGGTGCCGTATTATAATAAGGACCGAAAAATGGACCATAATTTTGACAACCACCCATATGTATCTGGGTGTCTCAGTCTCATAGGAACTATACTACGAAGCCCCCGATTGCTAAACCCCTATGAAGAAGCGGCTAGACATTGCAGTCGAAGCATCAAAAAGATAAACTCCGAGCTCAACAAACAGCCCTCCAGGTGGGCAGAGCTTGAAAGCCACCACGGGTTCGTATCCCTCCGGAAGAACGGCCATTGCGGCAAAGGCAGGCGCAGAACCCGGACCTCGAAACCCTAACCCTAAACCGCATAACCCAGAGGTCTTGAACGCAGCTTAATGCATCATCCCTATTCCTTCCAACCCTTAACGTTTAACCCTATACCTTCTAAACCCTACGCAGTGGCCCTTCGATGTCCGTTTAAGTGGAGGGCCCAAGGGGGCTCCCCTAAGGTCTAGGGTTTCTAGGGTATAATTGGGGATTCATGGGTAGTCATAAACGGGGTTATAAGTAGGGTAACGGAACTTATGGCCCATATTAGGGGACTTATAACCCCACTTATAACCACCCATGAACCTCCAAGTAGGGTATGGGTTGAGGTTTTGGGTCCGGGGAGTTGGCTTTGAACTTCTCCGGGTCTAGGGGTTTATAGGATATAGGCTATACCTTAAGAACCCCAAACCCACTTTTTTGTAGGTTCTTATTTTAAACCCTAATATGGGATTTATAAGGACCCTACAAAAAAGTAGGTTTTGGGTTCTTAAGGTATGGCTTGGAGGATATGGCTTAGGGTCCGAACCACCGGTCCCTCACGAGGACCCAAACTGAAGCTTTTCTTGGGGCCAGCTCCCTACGACTCCATGTGCCCATATTTTTAGTTCTCTAAAATATGATCCCTTTCTGGTCCCCAATATAGTACGGCACCCTTATAATAAGGACCCTAAAAGGGACCTTAATTCAGCAAACTACCCATATAGCTTGTACTTGGGCCTTAAAGTACCTATAGAGGGACCCCTGTAAGGCCTAAGTACCTACTGTGAAAGTACATGGAGCCTTTTGGGCTGCGGTGCACCTTCGGCGAAGCGGCAAAGTTCGAATCCCAAGACCGTTTAGGGCCTTGGGGCTTTAGGGGTTTAGGGGTTCAGGGTTTAGCGTTTAGTGACTAGTGCAAATCCGAAAGCGCGCCTGCGATCCCTAAACCCCCCGAATCCGATCTGTCACAGACCATGTACCCTGGACATAAGCCCCCTACGAGGTTTTGGGTTTAGGCTGCTCCGGCGGAGGCCGCGCGCNNGCGACGCCACTCCGGAAGACTCTAAATGCCACTAACGGCCGCGCGCGCTCCTTGGGCGATGCCATTCCGGAAGACTCTAAACGCCACTAACGGCCCTCTCGGGCTGCTCCGGCGGAGGCCGCGCGCGCGCTCCTTGGGCGACTCCACTCCGGAAGACTCTAAACGCCACTAACGGCCCTCGCGGAGTGCTCCGGCGGAGGCCGCGCGCGCTCCTTGGGCGACGCCACTCCGGAAGACTCTAAACGCCACTAACGGCCCTCTCGGGCTGCTCTGGCGGAGGCCGCGCGCGCTCCTTGGGCGACGCCACTCCGGAAGACTCTAAACGCCACTTATAACGGCCCTCTCGGGCTGCTCCGGCGGAGGCCGCGCGCGCTCCTTGGGCGACGCCACTCCGGAAGACTCTAAACGCAAGGGAATCGTGACTTCGACTTCCTGTAGTTAATTACAATGCACCCTACCCAAAAGCAACAAAAGCACTGCTCCGGCCCAGAAGTTGAAGCCCATAAGATCCCAGGGGTTTAGGGTTTAGGGGTTCAGGGGTTTAGGGGTTTAGGGGTTAGGGGTTTAGGGTTTAGGGTTTAGGGGTTTAGGGAACCCTCAAAGCCATATAAGATGCCCTCCTCCAAACCCTAGACCACAATAGTAACCTTTGTCCTACTTCTTTTGGAACCCTTTGAAGGGACCCTTAAAGGAACCCTGTTAAAATTATTGGGAAGGGCCCTTATACTACCCCATTCGAACGTCAGAGAGCCCTAAAGCCGCACTGAGGCCTCCCCGAGCTCAGGTGACGCCTCTGATAGCCAGGGTTTCAGGGGGGGGGGAAGAGGGGCAAGTTGGAATTTTAGGGTTTCTATAGGGCTTTTGGGTTTAGGGTGTGGGTTTAGGGTTTCTCCAGGGCTTCGGGCTTTTGGGTTTAGGCTCAGGGTTTAGGGTTCTATAGGGCTTTGGGCTTTAGGGATTTAGGGCTTTTGGTGTTTTTAGGACTCTAGGACTTTGTATCTGAAAGCTTCAGGAACTTTTTGGGTTTAGGGTTTAGGGTTTAGGGCTTCAGGAACTTTTCCGGGTTTACCAGAACCGAACCCCTCTACTCTGGTGTCGGGTTTTTGTGGCCCCCAGTGGCAGGTATTTAGGATACGTTGATGGAGTGGAGAGTCTGGGAATTGAGGGTTTGCAGGTCTTCAAGGCCCTAAACCCTAAACCCTAAAGGTTCAGGGCTCAGGGATTCCGGTTTCGTGACCCCACGACTCTCGGGCGTAAGGTCTAGGCGATTCGGATTCAAGGCGTCGGGTCTGTGCAATGTAACTGAACCTATAGTCTCCATTGTAGTTCCTTTTGGGGGATACCTTTTAAATTCCTTGTTATATGTTTAGTTGAACCAAAAACAGGAACTACAATGGAGACAATAGGGAGGCTTTAATGATTAGAACAAGGTTTCTGGTTCCGTTATAGTACAAGTAGAATACCCATAGGCCCCATAGTAGTTCCTTTTTGGGGGTTACCTTACAGGATTCTATATATGAACCCTCAAAAAAGAACTACTTTAGGGCCTATGGGTAAGGAGCTCTTAGGACCAATGGGTAGTCATAATATTTAAGCTTTTACAGTAGGCTGTAGGGCGGTTGAGGTTCAGCTGCGGTGGAAAGTCCTACTGGGAAGCCAGTATGGCGGTCTTACGGTGCATGGATCGGCAAGGGTTATCGGGTATGCGGGGGTTTGTTTAAGGTTGATTGGGGTCATGTTTTGGGGCAGTCACCGGGGGTACCAAAAGCTGCAGCTTGCTTTCTTACTGCAGCTGACGTAGTAGGGCGTATCGGATTCATGTTTGGGTGTGTAGCAACTGATACGATCGCTGCATCAAGCTTCTGTAATGTTGAGCTGCCAGTAGCGTCGAGCTTCAATAACACCCTAAACCCTAAATCCCGTAGTATCTTTCGATAGCCAACACTGCGACTGCTTCGTGAACCGCAGTCCAGATTATCTTGTCACCTTTTTAGGGTTTAGGGTTTAGCGATACCCAAACCAAACAATCTACAATCATTCGACCACACCAAACCCCGATTACGAATTGAGCTGCAGATTATTGCTGACCCCTAGACTACAGTACGGTGTTGTTAAAAGTTAAAACCTCAACTTAAACACTCCATCTACCCTCTATTCAATCTATTCAATCTTGTGCCTGAAATACCTTCTGGTATAGGGGCAATAATAATTAGAATAGGGCTTTGGGGCCCATTCTACCATAATTATACTAAGGAACCACCAGAATAGTATAGGTAGTTCTCTAGACACCTATTTTCATTGTTCGGGGCCATAGTACCACTAAAAGGCCTATGGAGTCTCCTGGAAGCTGCAACTGCAAGACTTGAAGCAAACGCTCCCCTCAGCGGAATCCCTGGGCCCTCTTCTGCTTACTTCCCCAATAAGCCAGGGAAATAGGGGTTTAGGGTTTAGGGTTTAGGGTTTAGGGTTTGTAAATTATAAGAACCCAAAAAGTTTAAAGGTTGGGTATTGGGAAACTTAGCCTGATTATACATAGCCCCTGTAACTCAAAGCCCTCAAACCTTATAAGCCCTAAACTCTAAAACCCTGAACCTAACACCCCAAAACTCAAACCCTAAACCCCATAATCCTAAACCCCGAAATCCGAAACCCTAAACCCTATACGCCCTACACCCTGAACCCTAAACCCTAAACCCTAAATCCCTAAACCCTAAACCCGAAACCCAAACCCTAAACCCGAAACCCGAAACTCAAACCCTAAACCCGAAACCCGAAACCCTCAAACCCTAAACCCTAAACCCTAAACCCTAAACCCTAAATCCCTAAACCCTAAACCCTAAATCCCTAAACCCTAAACCCTAAATCCCAAAACCCTAAACCCCAACCTCTAAACCCTAAACCCTAAACCCCATAACCCTAAACCGTTTCATGAGTCCCGGACTCTCTGCTGGGCCGCAGCCGGCAGCTGCTCCACACACTCCGCACTTCCGGAGCCTCTGCGGGGCCATGGGGGTTCCATAAGGCCTTGGGATTTAGGGTTTAGGGTTTAGGGTTTAGGGTTCCAGTTGGGGTCCTTATATTAAGGATCCTACTATCTGGGGTACTATGTTCTATAAGGCCTTGGGACTTAGGGTTTAGGGCTTAGGGTTTAGGGTTCCATAAGGCCTTGGGATTTAGCGTTTAGGGTTTAGGGTTTAGGGTTCGGGCTCCACAAGGCCTTTGGGGATTTAGGGTTTGGGGTTCTATAAGGCCTTGGGGTTTAGGGTTTAGGGTTTGGGGTTTAGGGTTTAGGGTTTAGGGTTTAGGGTTCCATAAGGCCTTGGGGTTTAGGGTTTAGGGTTTAGGGTTTAGGGTTCCAGAAGGCATTGGGATTTAGGGTTTAGGGTTCCATAAGGCCTTGGGGATTTAGGGTTTAGGGTTTAGGGTTCCATAAGGCCTTGGGATTTAGGGATTTAGGGTTTAGGGTTTAAGGTTCCATAAGGCCTTGGGATCCTTGGGATTTAGGGTTTAGGGTTTAGGGTTCCATAAGGCATTGGGATTTAGGGTTTAGGGTTCTATAAGGCCTTGGGATTTAGGGTTCAGGGTTTAGGGTTTAGGGTTTAGGGTTCCACAAGGCATTGGGATTTAGGGTTTAGGGTTCTATAAGGCCTTGGGATTTAGGGTTTAGGGTTTAGGGTTTAGGGTTTAGGATTCTGTAAGGCCTTTGGGGATTTAGGGTTTAGGGTTTAGGGTTCCATAAGGCCTTGGGATTTAAGGTTTAGGGTTTAGGGTTTAGGGTTCCATAAGGCATTGGGATTTAGGGTTTAGCTTTCTCTAAGGCCTTGGGATTTAGGGTTTAGGGTTTAGGGATCCATAAGGCATTGGGATTTAGGGTTTAGGGTTCTATAATGCCTTGGGGGTTTAGGGTTTAGGGTTTAGGGTTCCATAAGGCCTTGGGATTTAGGGTTTAGGATTTAGGGTTTAGGGTTCTATAAGGCCTTGGGGTTTAGTGTTTAGGGCTAAGGGCGAAAAGAGGTCAGGGTTTAAGGCTAAGGGCTCTAAAGCTTGAGGGTTTAGGGCGAAAAGGCTTTGGGGTTGAGGGCTGTAAGGGTTTAGGGTTTAGGGGTCTACAAGGCTTTTAGGGGTGTTTTTAGAGGTCTCCATAAGGGCGGCGATACGGTTTAGGGTTTAGGATTTTGGGGCTTTGGGTTTAAGGGTTTAGGGTGTTGGGGCTTGGGGTTTTAGGGTTT